AATTTAATATTACAAGACATATTAAAACACTATTAAATAATAAAAAAAAATCAATAACAAGGGGGCCTCTTACGCATATATGTATATATATATGTTTGTATATATGCAAGAAGGAACTAGAGGCAGATGAAGGTTCTGGAGGCACTTTACATCGGGTCCCGCAAGCCTTCTTTGTGCAAACAACGTGAGTGTTTGCTGGGACTCGTGTCATCTGCCTCTAGTTCCTTCTTGCATATATACAAACATATATATATATATATGCGTAATTTTTTTTTTTTTCTCCACCTATTCTTATTGTACATTTCTCTGTTTTAATTTTGAATCTCCCGTGGAAGCCTGACGAGCAGGAGCGAAACCGGTTGCTTCCCCCCCCTGTTGAGTTTTTTTTTTTTTTTTTATTATTATTTAATAGTGTTTTAATATGTCTTGTAATATTAAATTTTATACTTTTATTTCGATCATTAAATTTTGTACCTACAAAAATATCTTTAAATATATATATATATATATTAGTGTGTGTGTGTATGTGTGTTTGTATGTGTGTGTGTCTGGCTTATTATTTATTAATAGTTATGATAAATCATTCAGTAATGTATTCCCCTTAATTGTTTCCGAACACCTGCCAGCTATCCACTAACAGTTCATTGATTTGACGATAGAAAACACTAGGTTTTGACTAAACAAATTCATCAAGCTACGTTTTAAGCTCCGCATCGTTGTTGAACGAATCACCCCTCAAATTGTTAGAATGCAACCGAAAAAAGAGTACAAGTTTCTGAAGTGAATAATTTTCTGAAGTGAATAAATCATAAGAAAATGGTAGGTGTGGTAGAACTTATTAGTTATTTCTTTGTATTTATGAGTAGCCTGCTGTCGGTTAGCGTGTAAACTGGTGGCAATAGAGAAGTTCTAGAGTTTGTTTCTCTTGTGGCACCCATGCGCCATCTTTATGAGATTTATTAATTGACTGAAGATGACAGCAACAGTAAAATGAAAAGCTTGCCATCTTCTGAACCAATTCCTTTATGGTCTGGCACGATACTTCTTTAATTAGCGCCTGCGTTTGGCATCCTCAAACTAAACATTGTGATGTCGAAATTCCCTCCGTATGCGGAACAATATTGTGACCTTGATCAAAAGCAAAGAGAAGATGTCGATCATTCTCTTTCTCGTCTACTTGCCATTCCATCTAAAAGTGCGGTATCTAATCTGAAATAAAATTTCAACAACGTTAGCGAAAAAACATCAAACACAATGTCTAGCACACGCACACACACACCCACACATTTACTAATTGTTGAAACTTGACTAATGCATGGAATAATAATGCAACACAAAATGTACTTAGAACAAAATGTATTGAAACAAGAAAGTGTACACAATATTTACATATAGTCTTTTGTATATTCCTGGGAATGTGTTGACTTAGTCGCAGTCGGGCAGAGTCTCTGGATTGAATCTCTTGATTCCTCCCCTCTCTTCCCGGTATCAACCATATTTATATGGTCGGTACTCCACTATGCAAATTAGGTGGATCCTACCACAACACTAATATACATTATCATTTGAATCCTACATAGAAAAACTAGAATTACACTGACATGCATAAATCAATGTTTACGGTTTTTCAGTTTGGCTTGGAATCTGTTAATTTCTTGGAATTTCGAAGGGACGCGTCGTCTCTCCTTGAATTTGGAACGTCACAAATTATACAAACGTTTGTTTAACAAGTCGAATACATGTGAAACCTGATTAACTCATGAAAATTAAATAACGCAAAAATAAAAACAGTAGAATTTCTCCATGTCTCATTCTCTGATGTAGTTTTAATAAAAGTGAAACATTTTAGATTTGATAATAGTTTCCCATATGTTCTTCATCACTTACTCTTTCCACCCACTGCAAGGCAGTAAGTGTTCCACTTAGACACAAGGGATTACTGAATCTGAAAGAATAAAAATAAATGACGAGCATTAAGGAGAAAGAACAATAAAAGAAGATTTATCAAGAAGACAGTAGATGATGATTGCATTTAAAATTTTGAAGTTCAAAATTGACTAGGAAGCATGAAGTCGGAAGAATAGTTGCACAAGTACGAGAAAATATACTGTTAGCATAAAAGTTCGGATTACATCTAAGCCAATTCAAATGTAAATTGTTGGGGCATTGTTACTAATCTAGTACTTCGTGTAAATTCATAGAGGAAAGTTCCTCAGAAAAGTTACCATGAAAATATTTATAGAAAAGCCAGAGGAAGACAAAATTATGGCGGTGCGAAAGTGACTGAAACTGAGACGGTATGTCAGAACCAATAACATTGCAGATTCTTCTTTAGATTTTATAAAGGATCTCTATATGTAGCAGGAGCACCGGACCATATTTGGAAGCAATATTCTAAGCATGGACGAATTATAGACATATAAATATTTAAGATAGATTCTGGAGAAAAAAATTGTCAAGCACGACACACACGCATATATATATATATAGGATTAATATGAGTAAAACTTTGTCACTTAGCTGACTGATGTTACCTACAGTATCTCGATTACAGATTTTCTTAGGCCGACCAGTCCGTCCGCTCTTCAGTGGATATCAGCAATTTACTACATATTTTTTTCCTTTTTGATACATTTAACATTGGTGTAAGTTTTTTTTTCCGTATTTTTTTTGTTCTGTGCCTAGTAGTTCTCGCGCATGCGCTTGTCTGCGCAGATGTGATTGATTATAGGGTGTCGTGATCATTTGTACTTTTAGTTTTTTAGTTTGTTCTTTTTTTTTGTTCACATCATACTCGCTCCTTAGCTTTTTCTTTTTTTCCTTTTTTTTTTTCTTTCGACAGTTACCGTTTTTGTGACGAGTTCTTCCAGTGCTAGATGTGTAAAAAAAAAAAATACTGGACAACAATTTTAGAACTAGTGTGCTCATTGCTTCAGGCGTGTAGACATCTACTTAATTCGAACAAGGCAGGATTGCTAAACATCAAAGACACTACACACATAAAAAAAAGAAAATAATTTCCTCTGAAGAAAAATCTTCGAGAGTGCCGCCATTGAATATTATCCAGATATTAATCTATGACCCGTTTTTTTCCATTCTCAGCTTTCCTAACAGACTCACTACTCTCGAAAGCCCACATTCACAACAAATATACCGAGAAATCAAAAGAAAACGGTTGAATCCGTCATCACAAGAATTCAAACATTATTTCTACATAAGAAAAATTCTCTTCAAACATAATAAGTAAATGTCATAATTTATCAGTTGACCTAAAGAATATATATGAGCGTTTCTAAATTCTTCTAGTAACTAACAACGCTTTGATTTTTCTTTATAGGTACTTTCTTCAAATAAATTAATTTCGTTTTTGCCTTGAAATGGTTCGCATTGGACGAAACACGTCGGCTAAAGCTATATAGTTTTCCTATTGTCGTTTTTCCGTTATACATATTGTCTTTTTCTACAGGTCATGAGAATTTTTACACATACACACACACGCACTGTGTGTGTGTGTTTGTGTTTACATGTACATACGCACCCACGCATATAGGTGCACATATTTAATATTTATACTTTTATTTATTTATTAATAAATCAAGTTTGTATTATATTTATTTCATTTATATTTATTTCTTTATTCTTAATTAGTTCTTAGATGTAAAGTAAGTATTTATTTATATGCCTATATTTACCTATTATTTTAGTTTTCTTGTTTAAGAGTTTATTTTGATTTTTAAAATTAATTGTTGCCAATTTTTCATCTAAGCATAATTTATACTTTTTTCTGTTAATACTGTATGGTACTGCTCTTTTTTATAATTTCCCACTTGATTTTGTTGGGATTATTCTTTTCTTTTTGGCTCCATATATATTTCGATAGGGTTGTATTGTTTGTGTATTTTTTTCTTCGAAAGACATATAATATCTTTGTTTCAGTTTTTTCTGTGGCGCCTATGTAAATTTTTTCGCCTGCATTAATGTTATTAGCTACGATAGCTTTGTATATTATGTTATTGGTTAAGTATTTATTGTTAAGTGAGCAATTTTCTTTGTTTCAGCAGTTACATGTTATTTTGCTACATGTTATTGTTATTGTTGTTGTAATTGTTATTGGTTTTGTTGATTATTTTTTATTGTGCTTAATTATTATTTTCCCCACATGAAGTTGTAATTAATTTTGATTGAATTTTTGTTGATAATTTTTCATAATATGCTGTTCTTAAGGAAAAGTTTGTCAGTTATTTTGAAGAATAGTTTCCCTATTTTTGTTTTTATTGTAGTGTTGCAGTTAACGTTAAAGCAAACTATGTTTCTTTTTCTGTTGTTTTTGTGTGAATTGTTTTCGTTTTTGCATTCTAGTTTAAATGTCCGCTGTTTCTTAATGCTTATTCATATTTTTTCATTGAATATAAATTATATATATATATATATATATATATATATATATATATATGTGTGTGTGTGTATCTGAACATATACACGCACATGGACACACACACATACATATATGCACGTGTGTGTGTGTATACATTTGTACAGGAGGGCAATTAAATTTCCCCCTCTACTCGATAATGAAGGCTTCTTACCAAAATTCATTTATTTAGTCATTTGGGTAAGCATACAATGTTGATCGCAACTTCTGAAACATTTTTCGTCTGTATATGTTTAATATTGCGTGTCTTCTTCGTATTTGAAGACAATCGACACTGGTGATTCTTCGTTTAAGCAATCAATAATTGAAAGAAATGATATTTTTCTTAATTTATTGGCGCCCAATAAAAACAACTGACACCAGCAAAAATTCGATAATTTATTTTAATTAAAATATCAATACTTAAAAAAAAATATAAAAATAAAAAACACTATCTGTCCCTTCTATAATGTTTAAACCTTCAGTCTAATTGCAGAGAAAACTGATTTAGTTTTTATTTTGGGGGGATGATACAAAACTGGGTAAAATCCCTTGTAAATGAAAAGGATATTAAAGGTCTTCATTATTGTTATGAAGATAACAATTTGTGAGAATCAGTAATAAAATAATTGTTTTCCTCCATTTTCAATGTTCGAAAAGAGAAAAGAAGGAAAATATAGACAAGAATTTGAAGTAAACGATAAAGGGAGGAAAGAAAGAAAATAATAGAATGAATGAATGAATGAATTTCCGTGGATCCTAGAAAATGAAAGAAAGTGAATAGGAAAGAATAAACAAGGGAGAGAAAATGAATGAGGAGAAAAAACAGAAAGGAAGAAAGGATAAAAAGCAGATTAGAATACGAAGAAGAAATGTGGAACACAAAGAGGAACAGACTATGAATGAAGAACGAATATATATATATATAAGGGAAAATGAAGAACAAAGATATGAAGAGGAATGAATACGCAGAACTTGAAGAATACAACTAAATAAAATGATATCAGAGAAAAATGAAAAATAAAAAATAGAAGGAGAGGGGAAGTGAAAGACTCTTTTAAAATGAGAAAAAATAAGGAGGAAAAGAAGTAAATATAACATGGAAATAAAATAAAGGAAAGAAGGAAGCAGGGAAAGGAAGGAAGGAAGGAAGGAAGGAAGGAAGGAAGGAAGGAAGGAAGGAAGGAAGGAAGGAAAAGAAGGAAGGAAGGAAAAGAAGGAAGGAGGGAAGGAAGGAAGGAAGGAAGGAAAAGAAGGAAGTAAGGAATGAAGGAAAGGAAGGGAAGAAGGAAGGAAGGAAAAGAAGGAATAGAGGGAAGCAAGGAAAAGAAGGAAGGAAGGAAGGAAGGAAGTAAAAGAAAGAAGGAAAGAAATGAAGAAAGGGAGGAAGGAAAAGAAGAAAGAAGGGAAGGCAGGAAAAGAAGGAAGGAAGAAGGGAAAAGAAGGAAGGAAGGAAGGAAAGAAGGTTGGAAGGAAGGAAAAGAACGAAGGAAGAAGGGAAAAGAAGGAAGGAAGGAAGGAAGGAAAGAAGGTTGGAAGGAAGGAAAAGAAGGAAGGAAGAAGGGAAAAGAAGGAAGGAAGGAAAGAAGGTTGGAAGGAAGGAAAAGAAGGAAGGAAGAAGAGAAAAGAAGGAAGGAAGGAAGGAAGGTGGGAAGAAAGGAAAAGAAGGAAGGAATTGAATAAAGGAAGGACGGAAGGAAGAAAGGGAAGAAAATAGAAATAAACACATAAAGTAGGAAAGGTATAAGAAAATTATTCTGCTGTCAAATGTAACACGTAAAAAAATGCCTGAAAGAATAATCAGTTCTCTCGAAAATATCTAACTACCCCTGCCATGCTCTGTCATTTACAAGAGTCAGATCAAACCAGGAATGGAGTTATTGCTGCCATATATGGGCCGGTGATGCCCAATACTCATTATTCAGCTTATCCCACAGAGGAAACCTTGCTAGTCTTTCATTGCTCCATCTCGCTATTACTATGGCAGATGTTCGGACTAATTACATTCCTTAGTTCCACCCACTCAAGACTTTCCCAACTAGGACACGCCCTGCCATGTTCACGGTGGCCAGCTATCCCACATTGCGTTCGTTTTCCTTTGATAAAAAGCAAAAAGTTTCACTCAGAACAGTTAACGTTTGGAACGAACTCCCGAGAGGATGCTTCCCTGGTCGCGTTATATCCACGGTTAACCCAATATCTATCCTACTCGCCTCAATCTAATTTCTCATACTTCCACCCCACTTTATAATCTCATTCACTAACTCTCTATCTTGTGTGGCTCCTGGGGCTTGTATTAAGTGAAGTATCAGTAAAAAAGAACTATTAAATGATACGCAGAAACGAAATAAAAACGGAAGGAAATTAAAAATAAAAATTCTTAATGAAAACACAGAAGAAAAGATGACAGGGAAAAATATGGGAAAGCAGAGAGAGAGAGAGAGAGAGAGAGAGAGAGAGAGAGAGAAACAAGAAGAGGTGTAGAGAAAGAAGAAAGAACTAAAAAGAATGAATGTAAAAAGGAAAGAGAGAAACACGTATAAATAAACAAAAAGTCCATGGAAGCCAAAAACAACTGAACTGAATTTACAGAAGGAAAAGGAAAAGAAAAAAAGGCAATATAAGGAAAGATAATGAGATGAAACCCAAAACTGAAAAAACAATTCAAAATGATAACCACAAATTTTAGGAAAAATAAAATTCCTCTTTTCTGACGGGCTTTGCAATCAATTCATTCAAAACGGCTTTAAATATTGATTTACTATATATAACGACAATCTTTTATTATTTTCATTGTAAATTCTATTCATATCAACTTGTTTTAATTGACTTCTCAATGTGGATTCGTTTAACAATGTATGTGACTGTGGAATAAATATATATTTCTGGTATACAAAATATTATTGCTTTTTTTTTTATAACTTAAGAATTTCACGTCTCATAAAGTAATTTTTTGTTGTTACTTTTATCTTGATTTAAGAATGTTGGATAAACGACGTATACATGTATGTTTGTTGTTGAAGGTTTATACATATGTCATATTTTTTTACAAAATGTGCCAGATATATAAGCCTCACTCGATTTATCTGTGTGTGTGTATGTGTGTAAGGCCACAATCTCCAAGTTTGTCATCAGTATCTAAATGCCGAAAAATAGTAAGATAGAAATATAGACAGAAATATAGATATAATTCTGTCGTTTTTCTTTCGTTTTGTCTATAAATGAAGAAGTGAATATTTAAAATCAGTTTAAGATTATGGTCCTTATTATTGTTTTATGTACCATGTGCTTTCAGGAGATAGACGGTCACAACTTCCCATTAACATGCTGCCATCGTTTTTTTTCTACTTCTGTTATTTTCAATATGAATGTTAAATTGTCCAGGCTACTTTCCTTGTTATGTGTTCCAGAAATGTTCACTATTTTGTTCTGATTGTATGTATCAGTTTTCTTGTAGTTTTTGCCGGGCAGTAGCAGCGTACACCGTGGATGCAAGGGAAATAACGTTGTTCTCCTCCAACACAGAAAGCAATTGGGGAACTCGGTTGGTCTTTTCTATGCACACCCGTCATTGTCACCTGAACTGGCACCAACAAATTATTACCTTTTTCGATCGTTTTCTCTCATGAAAACCAGATTCAAGAATTCGTCAAAAATGATTCACATCGAAACCTGCGGGATTTTACTCAAAAGGTATCGAAAAGATGCCTGATAAGTTGTAATAATCATTGCAAATAACGGTGAATATGTAATAGAATAAAAAGTAAATGTACTTTATTTTTTTACCAATAAGTAAAGAAAATAGAAATTATATTTGCTTACAAATGAGACAAAAACATCGCACCTATGTTTGAATTTAACAAATTAGATAAGGATGAATTCTTCACATATACGCAAACAGGTTTGCATCATTCGATAACTGTCAAATTGTTTGTGGGTGGCATGGAGTCTAACACTAAAACAAGGTAGAGAAGTTCTAAAAGACAAGACGAAATTCTGTCTTATTTTGGAAGCAGAACAGATAACACTGAGTTCAAAATTCAGAAGTTAATTCAACGGCTAAACGAATAAAGATTTAATGGCTGAAACAATGCTGGGGCAGACTCAACCTAGTGGCTGAAACATAATGCTGGGACACACTCAACTTAGTGGCTGAAAGATAATGCTGGGACACATTCAACTTAGTGGCTGAAACAATGCTGGGGCACACTCAACTTAGTGGCTGAAACATAATGCTGGGACACACTCAACTTAGTTGCTGAAACATGATGCTGGGACACACTCAACTTAGTGGCTGAAACATAATGCTGGGACACACTCAACTTAGTTGCTGAAACATGATGCTGGGACACACTCAACTTAGTGGCTGAAACATAATGCTGGGACACACTCAACTTAGTGGCTGAAACATAATGCTGGGACACACTCAACTTAGTGACTGAAACATGATGCTCGGACACACTCAACTTAGTGGCTGAAACATAATGCTGGGACACACTCAACTTAGTTGCTGAAACATGATGATGAGGCACACTCAAATTAGTGGCTGAAACATAATGCTGGGACACACTCAACTTAGTGGCTGAAACATAATGCTGGGACACACTCAACTTAGTGGCTGAAACATGATGCTCGGACACACTCAACTTAGTGGCTGAAACATAATGCTGGGACACACTCAACTTAGTTGCTGAAACATGATGCTGGGGCACACTCAACTTAGTGGCTGAAACATAATGCTGGGACACACTCAACTTAGTGGCTGAAACATGATGATGGGGCAAACTCAAATTAGTGGATGAAACAATGCTGGGGAACACTCAACTCTGGGATTGTCCTCGACAGAAAACCGCACATTAAATCACAGGCCAAGTAGAGCGAGTACAAACCATAATGTCACTGACATCTCTGGGATAACGGAAGAAAGGAAAGCGTAAGGTACATGATGTTGATTATCATCTTATCTCGAGAAATAAAATATATATATATATATATATATATATATATATATATATATATATATATATATATATATAAAATAAACATTTGTTAACCCATTTATAAAACTATTTCTTATGCACGTAAAAATATGGGAAAGAGATAACGCGAATCTCATAGTGAAGTTTGCACCTGAAACTTCACTATGAGAGTCACGTTATATCTTCCTCATATTTTTACGTGCATAAGAAATAAATAGTTTTATAAATGGGTTAAAAATTAAATGAAATCTTATTTAGACTGTCTTTAGTATTCACTCTGTATGATTTAGAATAAAGAAGAAGTCAGACAATTACCAAACAAAATCACTGCTCTGTTATGTCGCATTCCATTAGGATGTGGGCGATGAGGGCGCGCCACAACTTCCTGTTGTTTGATGCTCTAAGTAACTTTTAACACATTACCAACATTCTTGTTTTGCCACCAATTCAAACAAACTCGTTGTTGTATTCACATATAAATCGTCAGCAGATAAATAGCAGTTGATACACAGCTGGAGGCTAAAAATAATCCTGACTTTTTGGTTGGGATTGGTATTCTTTGAATACTACCCCAACCTCCAGGGGGGCTTTCCCCCATATATTACCTCTCCCTCGGTAGGGGGCTAGGTTTATTGCCCGGCGCTTGAGGCCTCCTCAAAAGGGGAAGTGCCGGAAGGGCTTGAGAATTTTTGCACGGTGTGGCCGACCTTGTGTCACATATGGTTGCGACGTGGACGAACTGGTAGCTACTATTAATCATGACCTTGTTCAGTGAATTCACTTTCCTTATTCTTTCTTTTTCTATTTCTTAGTCGCTGTTTCTTTGTAGTTCCTCTTCTCCGTAAGGTTCGTCCATCGTATTTTGAACATTCATTGGTAATCCCACATCACTGTCGCTTTAAGTTTCATTTTCGTCTCCTAAATGATTGTCTAAAATCCGATGCCATATATGAGATTAGATATGACATAACAGTTCCTTTATTTCTAACAAAATGTTCTTATATCTTAATGTTTTCATAAGTTCCCAGAAAAATCTTTCGGTTTTCAATGTACCTACAAATAAAATCAATGACATATTTCCACGAATCAGAACTTAAGTCAGCCAAATAGACTTCGAACTAATCAAGGTCACGAAATTCCTTGTAGATTCTCACCGCCATAAGAGAGCTTTTCTATAAATATTTTCAAGATTTTAGATTTATTCCTGAATTGTTTTATTTAAATCAGTCAAAATAGGAACCCTGAACATTTATACATATCTTTCATCCATGTTGTTTATACTTTTGCGATAAAACATCTTTGCAGTAGAATGTGTTTTGGTTAAATTGCCAAGACGCTTGAAAAAGTGAGCAGAAGATCAGGGAAATATGGTGGATAAAGAAATTTCCTATTCCAAGTCGGTGAGCCTCTGGAGTATCATCCGGGCAAATATAGCCGAACATTGTCATAAAGCAAAATTTGATCTCATCTATTAACCAGTGCTTATCGCACTTCAGTCAACAGAATGTGGATTTCATCCGGATCTTGGCAGAATCTTTGCCACTGATGCTCTGCTTAGATTCCAGAAAACTCTAATGGACAATACCATCGTTCTTGACATGGAATCTTGACTTCAGTTACTTTCCCAATGCCGTTGCGTAGATATACTATACATTTTTGGGGCACCTCGCGGTGGTGTAATGGTTAGCAATCTTGTCTCGCTAGAACAATTACGGCTGAGTAGTGAGTTCGATTCTCACTGTGTCCCCTCTAATTTCGGCTTTGTGCCAAATCTAAGCTATACTTGGAAAATTTCTATACTATACGTTTTCTTATAAATATTTTAAAGGCAGTTGTTCTGATGAGCTTTCCTCTTTTTTACCTCGACTTGACGATTTCAAGCGTAGTTTTACATTTAGGTCTCATCATTTTACGGGTAAAATTACTTCTTGCTTTCCTGTTTACTATGATTTTAAAAAAATTAATGGCAACGAAATCGTCATTTTTTTCTGATCCTTCAACGACGTCATTCTCCTCATTTTCTTTTAGAGATTTTATCGCCTTATTTAGGTTGAAATGCTAAAAAAAAAAAAAACAACCTTTTCTCACCGAACAGGTAGCAGTGGTAATATACCGATTCAGGAGGTTTAATATTAACGAAATTCTGGGTTTATATTCGTCACGTAGATAAACATTTCTTAGTTTTAACTCCATGAGTTTCTTATTTCTTGTTAAATTACAAGACCAACATTAGCCTAGATGTGACTAATTCACCTATATTTCTCGATTTCACTACTGTCTTTATATTTGAATGACTTATGTACCTTTAAGATTATTTGAATCAATTACTAATATCCCAGCAAACGACCTTAGTTTTCTTTTAGACCTGGCCATCTAATTCATACCTCATCACTGTCTCTTTGAGTCAAGGGTCAACGCTTAAGTGTTAGTATTTCCTGATTGTAAAAATCCTCATCCAGAAATGATGTAGTAAATGTTCAGTCATGGCTGGTTGAGATTTATCTAAATTATTTCAACTCC